TACTCCGCTTCTGTTTTCTGGAATATCTTGCAAAAAGATCTGAAGCTCTCAACCTTGACCTCTCTAAGTGGCTTCAAACATCTGCTAAGTTCATGGCAACAACCAATGTTCCTGTTTTTAATTTTCTACATCACCTTACAACCTAGCTATTATTTTTGTTACATTTTCTTTTAAATGCCATTTCATTTTCATTTGTTCTTCTCAATTTGTATGCATCCTTTATGATTGTCCGTTCTTGTCTTTGTTGTCCACTGTTGTCATCACTCTTTGTTAAAACCAGGTTTCTCTTGTAAGAGTCCCCGGGGTTCAATGAGATTAACCTGTCTAAATAAAGGTTGAGTGAAGAAAGAAAAAACATTCAGCACAACCAGAAGAACAGCCTGAGGAAATGGTGCCTTTAGACGAACTGTAAAATGCCCTTCTTGGCTGTGCAGTACACATTCATATCAACTTCATCACCTTTACCGTCATCAGTACTGCACAGCTAATTCTTCATCACCTTCATCATTATCAGCACTGGACAGCTACTTCTTCATCTTCATCACCTTCGTCGTCATCACTAGACAGTTAATTCTTCATCTCTAGCTTTTCTTCATCTTCTATGGTGAGTACCCATTTAAAATTTAAATATTTTAAAAGGTTTAAGAGTTAAGAACGTTGTTAGGAACATTGCAAGAGTGTGGGAAGGGTTTATAATGCCTTTATTTATTTATATATATATATATATATATATATATATATATATATATATATATATATATACTAAAATAAAAATAACATCCCTACTTCACAGTTATTCACTTATTGCTGGGGGGGGAGAACCTAACCCCCGTAATAAACGAGGGACTACTCTACTAAGGTCGACTACATTCTGTGTAAAAGAGGAAACCTGAGGGAGATTAGAGACTGTGAGGTTGTGGCAGTGAAGAGTGTGGCCAGACAACATCAGATGGTTGTGTGTAGAATGACTGTTGTTGTGAAGAAGAGAAAAAGAGTAAAATCAGAGAAGAAAACCAAATGGTGGAAGTTGAAGAAGGAAGAATGTTGTGAATGTGTTGTAATTGTGAAATTCAGAGAGGAGCTGTTAAAGGCTCTGGGTGGTAAGAAAGAGCTTCCAAATGGCTGGACTACTAAAGCAACAGTAATTGGAGAGAAAGGTAGGAAGGTACTTGATGTGTCATCTGGACAGAGAATGGATGACAATGAAACCTGGCAGTGGAATAGTGAAGTGCAGGAAGCTATTCAAAGCAAGAGGTTAGCCAAGAAGAAATATGACAGTGAGAGGACTGAAGAGAGGAGACAAGAATTTAAGGAGATGCATAGTAGAGCAAAGAGGGAGGTGGCAAAGACAAAGCAGAAGGCGTATGATAAGTTGTATGGGAGGCTGGACACTAAATAGGGCGACTTGTACTGATTGGCGAGACAGAGGGATCAGGCTGGAAAGGATGTGCAGCAGGTTAGGCTTGTTCAAGATAGGAATGGTAACTAACAAGTGAGGAAAGTGTGATGGGAAGATGGAAGGAGTATTTTGAGAAGCTAATGAATGAAGAGAATGAAAGAGAAAAAAAGAGTAGAGGCCATAGAAACTGTGGACCAGGAAGTGGGAAAGATTAGTGAGGGTGAAGTCCGGAAAGCTCTAAAAAGAATGAATTAAGGAAGGCAGTAGGACCTGATGACATACCAGTGGAGGTTTGGAAATGTCTTGGAGATAAGGCAGTGAGGTTTTTGACTCAAATATTCAATGGCATATTTGAGAGTGAGAAAATGCCTGAAGAATGGAGAAGAAGTGTGCTGGTGCCCATTTTTAAGAACAAGTGTACATACAGAGCAATACAGAATTGTGGCAACTGCAGGGGAATTAAGATGAGTCACACAATGAAGATATGGGAGAGTGTTTTGGAAGCTAGACTTAGACGAGAGGTGACTATCTGTGAGCAGCAGTATGGTTTCATGCCAAGAAAGAGCACCACAGATGCCATCTTTGCTTTGAAGATGCTGATGGAGAAGTACATCCATCCATCCATCCATCCATCCATCCATTTTCTTTACCCGTTTATTCCATTTTGGGTCACGGGGGTCGCCGGTGCCCATGTCCAGCAATCACTGTGCGAGGGGCGGGGTACACCCTGGACGGGTCGCAAGTCCATCACAGGGCCACATAGAGACAAATGAGACAAACAACCATTCACTCTCTCATTCACACCTAGGGACAATTTAGAGTTACCAATCAGCCTAACATGCATGTTTTTGGTCTGTGGGAGGAAACCGGAGTACCCGGAGAAAACCCACGCATGCACGGAGAGAACATGCAAACTCCACCCAGAAAGGTCCCCGGACCGGGATTTGAACCAGGGACCTGCTCGCTGAGAGGCAGCAGCTCTACCAGTTGCGCCACCGTGCTGCCTCTGGAGAAGTACAGAGAGCGTAAAAAAAAAAAGAACTCTATTGTGTCTTTGTGGATTTAGAAAAAGCATATGACAGAGTGTTGAGGGAGGAAGTGTGGTGTTGCATGAGGAAATCTGGAGTGGCAGAGAAGTATGTTAGACTGGTGCAGGACATGTATGAGGACAGAAGGACAGTGGTGAGATGTGCTGTAGGAGTGACAGAGATAGCTTCAAGCAACAAGGATTGGCTCTGAGCCACTTCTTGTTTGCTCTGGTGATGGACCGACTAACAGATGAGGTCAGGCAGGAATCCCAGTGGACTATGATGTTTGCAGATGACATTATGATCTGTGGTGAGAATAGGGACCATGTGGAAGAGAACTTGGAGAGGTGGAGGTATGCACTTGAAAGAAGAGGAATGAAAGTCAGCCGTATAAGACAGAGTACATGTGTGTGAATGAGAGGGAGGAGGTGGAACAGTGAGGCTACAAGGAGCAGAGGTTACAAAGGTGCAGGACTTCAAATACTTGGGGTCCACTGTCCAGGAAAATGGGGAGTGTGGTGAAGAGGTGAAGAAGAGAGTCCAGGCAGGATGGAGTGGATGCAGAAAAGTTTCAGAAGTGATTTGAGACAAAAAAAAGATGTCAGCAAAGGTCAAAGGAAAAGTTTACAAGACAGTGGTGAGACCAGCTATATTGTATGGGCTGGAGACAGGACAAAAAGACATGAGACAGAACTGGAAGTGGCAGAAATGAAGATGTTAAGGTTCTCCTTAGGAGTGACAAGAAGGGAGAAGATTAGGAATGAGATCAACAGAGGTACAGCACAGGTTGAACAACTGGGAGATAAAGTTAGAGAGGTCAGACTGAGAAGGTTTGGACATGTCCAGAGGAGGGACAGTGGGCAGATGGGTAGAGGGATGTTAGAAATACAGCTGCCAGGAAAAAGACAAAGAGAAGGTATATAGATTTTGGGGGACAGGATCTGTTTCTGAAAAAGAAACCCAATTTAACTGAAAGTTAAAAACTGAAACTGAAAGTTAAACTGGGTTTCTTTTTCAGAAACAGATCCTAACTCTGAATGCTAGGAAACACCTTGTATCTGTGACCTTCCTTCCCTCCATTGATTACGGTGACATTATTTACATGAACGCTCCTACAAGAACCCTGCAGATGTTGGATGCTGTCTATCATGGTGCGCTAAGATTCATAACTGGCTGTGATTATCGTACCCACCACTGCACCCAGTATTCACTGGTTAACTGGACATCATTAACTTCACGCAGACTCTCTCACTGGTACATTTTCATCTTTAAATCACTTCTTGGTCTGTTGCCTTCATACATCTCCTCCTACATGTCTCTGTGTGAGTGCAACTACAGTGTGTGCTCTCAAGGCATTATTACCTGCAGTGTTCCCTTAGTGAGGACTGAACTAGACAAAAGGACCTTCTCCTACTCCGCTCCTGTTTCCTGGAATATCTTACAAAAAGATCTGAAGCTCTCGACCTTGACCTCAAGTGGCGTTAAGAGTCTGTTGGACTCCTGACAAGGACCAATGCAGACATGTTCCTGTTTTTAGTTTTCTACATTCGCCTTAGAATCTAGCTGGTTTTGTTACTTCTTTTGCTATGTTATTTGTAAAAAATTAAAAAATCTATATGCCTTTTTATAACTGTCTATTGTTGTCGCTGTTGTCCATCGTTTCCATCATTCTTTGTTGAAATCAGGTCTCGCTTGTAAATGAGTCCTCAAGGCTCAATGGGATTTACCTGTCTAAATAAAGATTGAATTAATATATGTATATGGAATATGGTATATGGTATATGGTATGGTATATATTTATATATATGGAAGGTATAGGAAGAAAAAAGTCTGATAGAAATTTTTTCGCCTCCAATTCCTACATGTGTCCAGTTTCACTACTTTTTGTCTGTCTAAACAGATCTCACTTGTAAATGAGTCTTCTAGGCTCAATGTGACTTATCTGTCTAAATAAAGGCTGAATGAATGCAGTTAGAAAGGACATAGAGGTAGTTGGAGTGAGGACCGAGGATGCAGAGGACAGAGTGAGATGGAGGAGGATGACTCACTGTGGAGGCCCTGAAGAGGGAAAAGCTGAAAGAAGAAGATTTTTTTTAATCTGAAGATGTCCAGCAGTGCCATCAGCTCTGCTGGCAGAACCCTGAGGGACTTGTGTATGTCCATCTACTCTTTGGTGAAGTCTGGCCAGAAATGGCCCCATGTAAGAGCTGGGGCCTATAAGGCATCCCTCCAATGTGGAAACAAGATCAAGTGATTCAACTGTGCACACAAATGGCAGCAGGGATTTGAGATGGATGAGTTAAATTTCCTAAATTCATTCTACAACAAGGCAATGACCCCAGAGTATTTGTTTATTGCAACTAAATACTGATACAGCAAAGCACATTATTATAAAGTGCTATTATTCAAAAGTTTTTGTTAAACAACTATAGATAATACATTATATAGACAACTCACTGTAGATTCCATCAACATTCCTTCATTTCCTTCAACATCAGTTAATACTTAACATAAACAGGGTCCAAACTTTGGACTCTATATCACATGTGGTGTTTCCCAAAGGGGGTCTATGATTAAATCAGTCTGGAATTACGATGGTGCTCGATGAGGACCTTGTAGACGAAGGTATACTGAGGCAGCGTCTGAACCATCATCATCCTCTGATCACGAAGCGTCTGCAGGAATTTTGGAATGTCTAACAGCTGAAAAACAAACCATTCATAATTATTATTTTTTGAATACAGGTGCATATCAAAATGTTAAAATATTGTGAAAAAGTTCAATATTTTTTATCACTCATTTCAGAAAGTGAAACTCATATATTGGATTCATTACACATAGACTGAAATATGGAAAGCCTCTATTTCTTGTAATTTTGATGATTATGGCTTAAAAATAATGAAAACCCAAAAGTTGGTGTCTCAGAAAATGTGAACATTGTATTGTGATAAAGTTCCCTATTGAAAACTTGTGTACAATATATACAAGCTATGAATGTCGCATTCATCAGGTCTGTGCCACTCCTGAACCAGAGGCAACGTCAGAAACGAGAAAACTTTTTGAGAAACAATTTTGTTTTTTCATTATTTTCATTATTTCATCAAAATTACAAGAAATAAAGGCTTGAAATATTTCACTCTATATGTAATTGTAATGAACATATATCTGTCAGATAAAATTCATAAATTAAACGGATTCTTTCATTTTTCTGGACTGAGTTCTATCGTGCATTGAATGATTAAATGTGACGTGAGACGTTAATTTTCTTTGACCCATCAAAATGAATGCGGTCATTTATTAACAGAATCAAAGTTTAACATCAAACATTTACATTAATTTGGCAAAATTGATTACAATAACAAGCTTAATTAATTAGCTTTACAATCAGAAACCATACGGCCATGGTATCTCTTGCAGCTTTACAACAGACATTTCTGAAAATATCTGGATGATTACTGGCAGATAGAAGAGTTTTAAAGATGGGAAATGAAGGAGTTTAAATGGAGAGAGATGGGTGAAGATGTATGTCTGTAGACCAGAACGACAACACGCTCCTTTGGACGCAGCTTAACCCACGGTACACTTTGGTTGAGATCGACTCTTTTACCTTTGCAGATGATAGTTTCGGCGTCGGTGTAGAGTTTCCTTTCAACTCTTTTCAGCGTCTCCGTAAGAACAGCTAAAACCTCAGGAGTCGTGAGATCATCCCAGAACAGACTTCTTCATTGTTCCTCTGAACTTCTCTCGTTCAGGGACTTCTCGTTCGAGGTCCTCCCTGGAACGTTGTTCAGCTTAGTTCCCGTTGTTCTCCAGCATTCTGCATTCAGCCTTCTGCATTCTCCATTCTGCATTCCAGCATTCTCGTTGGAACTAGGAAGTGTTGACCCTTTTAAAGAGTTCACTTCCGGCTCCTCATGAGAACTTCCTGATTGGTCGAAACGAACCAACAGGGTGTGGTCTTAGTGATATAAGAGGTTATTAAAAGTCAAGGAGAAAGATTAGGTTGTTTAAGAACAGACAGAAAGATGTTTTGAAGAACCGAGACTTTTAGGTGCCAGTCCTCTTTTATCTATCTGAAAAAGTTAAACATGACATTTTTCTCCAGTACATGTTTTTGACCGAAACTTGACTTTTGACCGACTTACACTTGCTCATTTCAGACAGAAGATCAAAATGCATAATTACTCTTGTAACAAACATTAACTTGATTTCTACTTTGAATGAGGATTAAAAATCATTAATACTGTTTCACAGTTGATTTAAAATGAGTAGTTCACTTCAACATTTAAAATGGTTTGAACTAAACACACTTTTGATTATCAAGACATTTGTAAAATAGTAATGATAATAAAAAAGAGAGTGTTGTTTCAATTGATCAGTGCAGGACACACTTAGAAAGTCTCTGGATGAACTTAATTTTGTGTTTCTGGACTCAAATCAATGAAGTAACAGTTCTTGTCCCAAGAAGATTTTGACCTGAGGCTTAGTTCACTACATAATGAATATATGTAATGTATGAGTTTCACTTTGTAAAATGATGGACAAAAATGATGGACAAAAATGATGGACAAAAAATAGAACTTTATCACAATATTATTTTTTTAGATGCACCTGTAAATGCACAAGATTTAGCTTAAAAAATATTTAAATGTATGTAGGTACCTCATTGTTCTCTAGACAAGCTATAATGATCTCAGACAAGATGACAACTCCAGAGCGACCTGCACCAGCGCTGCAGTGGACCACCATAGGTGGGTTGATGTTCACTGAATCATCAATACTGTTTGTGTTTTTCCTTGTTGACTGGATCTCCCCTAGGTATGCTGGAGAGTAAATACAATTGATGTTAAATGACACAAATAGCACCATTTTGATTATACTGAGCTTAGAAGATCAGAGGTGGTCTGTAAGGTGAAGATGTCAGTGTAAAATTAATAATAATCACCAAGGAAGCCTTTGAAGTCCTCAGGACAACTATAGGTAGGCCAGTCTGTATACTGCAGGTGGCAGGCAGTCCTCTCTTGTCCTGTCAGGAGGTGTTGGATTTTTAGCATTGTGGTGGCATAGCAGCCACACTCCTTGTGGCTTTGTGTGGTTATCTTAAATACTCCAAATGTCACAGTGTTTTTTTGAGAACCAAGTCGGGGCCAGTATCGGAAACTCTTCTCTCGACCATTTTCCTACAAGAAATGACCACATTGAAAGTTCATCATCACTGATAAGAAATCAAATAATACAGGTATACATGCATGTACAATAAAGCTTTGAATATCCTGATGCATGCTCCATAATTCTATTCAATTCAGTTTATTTATATAGTGCCAAGTTACGACAGAAGTCATCTCAGGGCACTGAACAGAAACAGTCAAATATAAAAAGTAAGTTAATAATATTATTTATCTGAGGAGCCAGCAGACTGCTTTGAGTCTAACTTCGTTGCAGACTCTCATCCTGTCATCAATAATCCAGGTAGAAAAATCTAACAAAGTTGTCAGGTCCTCTGGACGGATTCTTTTTGTTGAAACGTTTCATCTTTTATCCAAAAGACTTCTTCAGTCTGAGGAGCTGCAACAAACAGTCTTATAAATAGCACCTTCTCATAGTAAATCATCCAGTTTGCTGGTGACAGCCTAAACTAGCTGTTCACATGATAAAGGACCATTAGCCTAACAATGGATCATTAGCACCCTGATGGCTGTTTACTTCACAGAGGTCTGAGTGATACTAGCAATAACAACATTGTAAGGGGGGGGGCAGTTGAACACGGAGGCCTCCACCCCTGTTTAATGATGGACGGTTTCTTTTCACAAAGATGGCCTCCTTTACTCCTCTCTCAAACCATCGTTCCTCTCTGTCCAGGATGTGAACATCTTCATCCCTGAAAGAGTGACCGCTGGCCTGGAGATGAGTGTAGACAGCAGAATCCTGGCCTGATGATGTTGATCTTCTGTGCTGGTCCATCCTTTTGGCCAGTGGCTGTTTAGTTTCCCCGATGTAAGACTGATCACAGCCCTCCTGACACTGAACAGTATACACAATATTACTCTGTTTGTGCCAGGGGACTGGATCTTTGGGAAATAAATAATAAATCTTCCCAACACCAGCAAACTAAAACAAAAGAGCAAAGTTTAGTCTGTCCTGTGAAAAATAAGAGGGTTCAAGGAGAAGAGTGACAAGACTGATAAAATCTGAATAATTCAGGAGCTGAAAGTATTTTGCAAACGAAACATTTGATGCTCATCTCCTGCACATACCCACGCCTCACAGCCTCCCTGAATCCACAGCTTCCTGGCACAACTTTAAAATCTTACTCAGCACCACAGGGAACTTAACTCAACATCACCATCATAACATACTGAGGCCTCCTCTCCTCCTCCTTCTCCTTCCTGGTTGTCCGTGAGGCTGACACATTATCCAGTTTTAAGACTGGGCTTAAGACTTTCCTTTTACAAAGTAGATAAATCCTATAGTTAAGGTCGGCTTGGGTTTACTGAGCTATCCTGTAGTTATGCTGCTATAGGCTTAGATTGCTGGAGGACAAACTGACCACATTTCACTCTGCTACTGTCTTTACTTACTCTGCTCAACCTGTTTTCTATTTATAATTTGTTATATCCTTAACATGTGTTCTATTCTTTTTGTCTTTCTTCCAACAGGGGGTACACCTGCACCTACTGTACATCTGGACCTGCCATTCTGTGTTTGTTTCTTCTTCCTGTCCTCTCAAACCCAGCCGGTCGAAGCAGACCACTTGTCCTGAGTCTGGTTCTACTGTGGGTTTTGTCCTGTTAAAAGGGAGTTTTTCCTTTCCACTGTTGCCATTGTACTTGCTCAGGATGGGAGACTGCAACAAAGTGAAGATTCACCACAATTTGCTGCTTCCTTAGATAAAGAACTTTACTAACTGGCTTTTGTATGTATGTCAGTGTTTTTGTTCAGTGTCCTAAGATGACTTCTGTTGTGACTTGGCACTTTATAAATAAACTGAACTGAATTGAAAGTCACTGGGACATCATGGTTGAAATTTAATGTCTCAGTTTCTCTGATACTCCCGCAACATACGGAATGGCCAATGGTCTGGGTCTGGGTTCCTCTTTTCCACCTGATGGCTGACTGAAGTCCTGTTTGGGTTTCTTCTCCGCTTTCAGGAAGGCCCAGTTAGGATATCCACATTGCTCTAGAGCCTGTCTTGTGTGGGATTTCTCCTTCTGCCTGGCTCCTGAGCTAGTGGGGACGCTGTCTGCTCTGTGGTACAGAGTCCTGATGACTCCTAACTTGTGCTCCAAAGGGTGATGGGAGTCAAACTGCAAATACTGGTCTGTGTGGGTGGGTTTGTGGTACACCTCAGTTTGCAAATGTCCTCTATCAGAGACTGAGACCTCACAGTCCAAGAAAGCCAACCTGCCATTTTTTACATCTTCTCGTGTGAACTTGATGTATTTATCCACAGAGTTGATGTGGTCAGTAAAATGTTGGACTTCCTGAGATTTAATTTTAACCCAGGTGTCGTCAACATACCTGAACCAATGACTTGGTGGTGTCCCTGAAAAGGATGCCAAGGCTCTCTTTTCTACCTCCTCCATGTACAGGTTGGCAACAATAGAATAAACTGGAGACCCCATAGCACACCCATGTTTCTGCCTATAATATTGCTCCCCATATGTGAAGTAGGTTGACTGCAGGCACAGTTTCATGAGTTGACACAGTTGTTCTGTGGAAAGCGTGGTCCTGCTGCTCAGAGTGGTGTCAGATTTTAATTTTAAACTGACCACCTCTACTGCATCATCAACAGGAATGCACGTAAAGAGTGATGTGACATCAAAAGAGACCCGTGTTTCATCAGTCTCCATGAAGTCCATGGTGTTCTGTATGTGATGTTCTGAGCTGCCAACTAAAGGGATGAGTACAGACACCAGATATTTGTAACTTTATTTTTTAAAATAGTGATATTTATTACTGGTATCACTCAGTCCTCTGTAAGCAGCAAGTGGTCATTCGGGCACTAACGATCGGTCGTTATGCTGATGGTCCTCCTATGTGAACAACTAGTTTTGGCTGTCACCAGCAAACTGGTTGATCCATTCTGATAAGGTGCTATTTATAAGACTGAGTTTACTGCAGCTCCTCAGACCGAAGAAGTCTTTTGGATAAAAGATGTAGCGTTTCAACATGAAGAATCCGTCCAGAGGACCTGACTTAACCTTGTTAGAAAGCTTTGAATAGAGAAAAGGAACTCACCTCTTCAGCAGTAACCATGGCAATGATAGAAACACCCTGCTCCCATATCATTTGCCAGAAGTCTTGACATGTGTGTGACAGAGGACCCTGTGTTGCAATGTAATGCCACTCCTGTTCACCTACTTTTACCTAATGACACAAGAGATGAGTTGGGGTTGGAACTCAGCAGTGTTTGGGGCTTGAGATTATTTCAAGGAACTAAAACATTTGGAAACCATTGCTTTACGCATCTTGGTGCAACTTACCCTGATGTGTGATGCATTGATGTAGCCTATGCTGTTTTCTTTAGTGGGAACCAGCTTCACTCTGGTGTCCTCATAAGGCACGACATCTTGGTAGCGGTTTTTGTCCACATTTTCTGGATAACTGGCGATGGTGCACTGTCTTCCTGGACGACACATCGGGACACTCTCGTACTCTTTGTAAAACTCGCTGTTTTCCATCTGTTCCTCCAGCTGTTTGCACTGACAAACACAAACAGGTCATTCATGTATCAAATAAGATCCTCAAGCTGAGAACAGTTTGAGTTGAGCCTCTGAGAATGCTGGACTCCTGCTATTGTAGTATGAACATATACTGATATATATTCATAAATTAAACGGATTCTTTCATTTTTCTGGACTGTATAATGACGTGCATCTGAATTCAATAAAATGTGGACGTGAGACGTTAATTATCTTTGACTCACCAACGACAGTGGGTCATTTATTAACAGAATCAAGTTTAACACATCACACATTTACATTAATTGGCAAGAATTGAAAATAACAACAGCTTATTCAGGCTAGTTTAGCAAGGAGTAAACAACACGGCGATTGTTTTCTCACTTCCAGCAGAACAACAAACGTCAACCACACGGCGGTGATTGAAAAACTTTGCTTCAGACATTTCTAAAAATATCTGTAATGATTTTTAGCAGATAGAAGAATTTTAAAGATGGGAAATGAAGTTTAAGTTGAGAGAGATGTGTGAGGGAATTTGTCTGTCCTAACCAGAACCAGCACGCTCCTTCTTTTCCAGCTTGGCCCAACGGTACGCTTAGTTGAGATCGACTCTTTTACCTTTGCAGATGATAGTTTCAGCGTTGGTGTAGAGCTCTCCTTTCAACTCTTTCAGCGTCTCCGTAAGAACAGCTAAACCTCGGGAGTCGTGAGATCGTCCAGAACAGAAATTTCACAATTCCCAGATCTTCTCTCGTTCAGCTTGATTTTCTTTCATCAGCATCCTGAATTCCAGCCTTCATGAACTCTGGAACTGCTGAGTTTCAGAACTGCAGAACTTCTTCATCTACGCCAACTCCAACTGGAGGTGGAACCTCTTGCAGAACTCCCCATCATCAGCTGACTAAACTTAAAAACCCCTGGTTGAACTAGAAAGTACCAACATTTAAAGGGCTCTATTTCCGGTTCATTTGGGAGTTTCTGATTGGTCGATGGACCAAAACAGAGGTGTGTTTTGTGATGTAAGGTGTTATGAAAAGTCAAGGAAAAAGATTAAGATTGTTTAAGAACAGACAAAAGATTGTTATGAAGAACTTCAGACTTCGTGGAGTCAATTCTCCAGTATCTTGCTGTAAAAGTTAAACATGACATTTCTTTTTCAGTAAACTTGCAGTTGACCGAAACTTGAACTTTGACCAACTTACACACTTGCTCACTGAAGACAGAAAATCAGACAATGCATCATTAACCAGATTTCTTCTTTGAATGAGGATTAAAAATCGTTATTACTGTTTCACAGTTGATTTAAAAATGAGTAGTTCACTTCAACATGTAAACATTGTTTGAACTAACACAATTTGATTATCAAAACATTTGTAAAATAGTAATGATAATAGAAAATAGTCTTCTTTCACTTGATTAATTCAAGAAAGAAAGTCTCAGGATGGGTCAACCTGTATTTCTGGATGCAAATCAATGAAATGACAAGTTCTGTCCCATAAGGTCCTTAAGGTCAAATCCTGACCTCAGGCCTAGTTCACTACACTATCTAAACTCAGGACTACAGCAAAAACTGAATCCATCCATTTTACTTGTCTTTAGCAGAACCTGAACAACACTAGATTCTCTTGTGGAATAGTGCTAAGCATTACTAGTAATGTGACTACTGATGTTAACCCATGTGTATACAGTACACCTATTCAGAGGATCAGTTTCTTCCATTCTCACTTTGATGGGCTAAAGAGCTATCAAAGGTCGTTGGGTATAAATGGTAAATGGACTGTACTTATATAGCGCCTTTCTATCTTATAGAGAATCTCAAAGTGCTTTACAATACAATCTGTGCCTCATTTACCCATTCATACAGCACTCTACTAGAGCTATACAAAGATAATTGAACATATCATTCTAAAGAGACTAATCAGTGCTTTAGATCACATTCATACACTGATGGGACACACATCGGAGGCAACAAGGGGTTCAGTGTCTTGCCCAGGGACACTTCGGCATGTGACTGCTGGTGGATTTGAACTCCCAACTCCTGCATTGGAGGACGACTGCTCTAACCACTCAGCCACAGCTGCCCGCACTCAGCCACAGCTGCCCAAGATAAGATATTAGATTTATGTAAGGTTGGAATGGGGTCCAAGACCATCAGTCTAAAGGTGTCAACTGTCTGTGCAAATCTTTGGAAATGGAAAAAATATAAAATGGCCCTCAGTCTGGAGCTCCTTGCTAAGTCTTGCCTCATTAGGTGGATGGTCATGAGAAATGTGAAGGATCAACCTGCAACTATGGTAGGAGTTTCCTAATCTTCTGAAGGCAGTTGGGACACCACTGAAACCTTGCACCTGAGCATCTTTTAATGGCAAAATTCAGCATTAAATACTGCACAAGCTCAGACTGTGACAACTGAATTTGCACTTGTGTTTTTCAGTAGCTAAGCTAAGTTTTTAGTAAACAGACTGAAAACGACTGAAATTTTTACAAACCGGATTCCAAAAAAGTTGGGACACTAAACAAATTGTGAATAAAAACTGAATGCAATGATGTGGAGGTGCCAACATCTAATATTTTATTCAGAATAGAACACAAATCACAGATCAAAAGTTTAAATTGAGAGAATGTATCATTTTAAGGGAAAAATCTGTTGTTTCCAAATTTCATGGCATCAACAAATCCCCAAAAAGTTGGGACAAGTCCATTTTTACCACTGTGTGGCATCCCCCCTTCTTCTTACAACACTCAACAGACGTCTGGGGACAGAGGAGACCAGTTTCTCAAGTTTAGAAATAGGAATGCTCTCCCATTCATGTCTAATACAGGCCTCTAACTGTTCAATCGTCTTGGGCCTTCTTTGTCTCATCTTCCTCTTTATGATGCGTCAAATGTTCTCTATAGGTGAAAGATCTGGACTGCAGGCTGGCCATTTCAGTACCCGGATCCTTCTCCTACGTAGCCATGATGTTGTGATTGCTGCAGATTGTGGTCTGGCATTATCGTGTTGAAAGATGCAGGGTCTTCCCTGAAAGAGACGATGTCTAGATGGGAGCATGTTGTTCTAGAACCTGAACATAGTTCTCTGCATTAATGGTGCCTTTCCAGACATGCAAGCTGCCCATGCCACAAGCGCTCATGCAACCCCATACCATCAGTGATGCAGGCTTCTGAACGGAGCGTTGATAACAACTTGGGCTATCCTTGTCCTCTCTGGTCCGGATGACATAGCGTCCCAGTGTTCCATAAAGAACTTCAAATCGTGACTCATCTGACCACAGAACAGTCTTCCATTTTTCCACACTCCATTTTAAATGACCCCTAGCCCAGTGCAAACGTCTGAGCTTGTGGAGCTTGCTTAGAAATGGCTTCCTCTTTGCACTGTAGAGTTTCAGCTGGCAAAGGCGGATGGCACGGTGGATTGTGTTCACTGACAATGCTTTCTGGAAGTATTCCTGAGCCCATTCTGTTATTTCCTTGACAGTGGCATTCCTGTTTGAGGTGCAGTGAAGTTTAAGGGCTCGGAGATCACGAGCATCCAGTAGAGTTTTACGGCCTTGACCCTTACGTACAGCAATTGTTCCAGATTCTCTGAATCTTTTGATGATGATTGATGATGATAACTTATAAGTCTTTGCTATTTTACGCTGGGTAACATCATTCTGGTATTGCTGCACTATCTTTCTGCGCAACAATGGTGGAATTGGTGATCCTCTTACCATCTTGGCTTCTGAGAGACACTGACACTCTGAGAAGCTCTTTTT